CCTCCAGCCAACCCCCGCCCATAGCTGTCATCCTGCTCCCTATCTATGAGTCTGTGTCTATTTTGCTTGTTAGTTTAGTTGGCTCATTAGATTCCACAGATGAGTGAAACCATATGGTATGTGTCTTTCCGTGGCTGGCTTATTTCACTTAGCATAATGTTCTCCAGGTCCATTTATGCTGTCTCAAAGAGTAAATTTTTCCTCTTTTTTATGACCAAGTAGTATTCCACTGTGTAAATGTCCCATAATTGTTTTATTTTTTATTGGTTAATATATAGCTACATACAAAAATGTTCTTTTTTATTGTCGTTCGAGTACAGTTGTCTACATTTCCCCCCTACCACTCCTCCTACCCCAGCCATCCCCGCCTCCCATCCTTGATCCCACCTCCCTTTGGTTTTGTCCATGTGTCTTTTATACATGTTCCTAAAAAACCTTCCCCTCCATTGTCCCCTCCCACCTCCCCTCTGGTTACTGTCAGTTTGTTCTTAATTTCAATGTCTCTGGTTCTATTTTGCTTGCTTGTTTGTTTTGTTGATTAGGTTCCATTTATAAGTGAAATCATATGTTGTTAGTCTTTTACTGCCTCGCTTCTTTCACTTAGTATAATGCTCTCCAGATCCATCCATGCTGTCTTGAAAGGGTAGGAGCTCCTTCTTTCTTTCTGCTGCATAGTATTACATTATGTAAATGCACCTGCCTCACTCTACATTGCTTACTCTCATTGATGTTGTGTTGATATGGGAAGAGTGGGTGAAGAAAGGCTATAAAATAAAGATCACTACCACTACCTTATACCACTAGATGACTGTGGAGGGACAGCTCATGGTTCAACTTCACTGAGACTTCTATGGCAAAGAAATCAGAGCACCAGCCTGATTTGCTTCTGCTGAAGGGGGAATGGAAGGTCAGTTCCGTGATCAGCATCACTATACTACTATTCTGACAGGGAAACATTTCCTGCTTAGGGAAGCACGGCCTGCTTCTGCTAGAAAGGACATGGAAGATCAGCTCTCTTTTGGTCCTGCTGATACTACACTGTCAGAGGTACTGGAACATTATCTGCTTCCACGCAGCAGTGGATGTAAGATCAATTTCCTGCATTTGAGGCTGTTGACTAACCTTATTTCCCACCACAAACCACATCCCCTATTCCTTAGCCGGGCGAATTCTCTGCTCTAGCCACAAGTGCTGGACCAGTTTTTTGCATATCCTAAGTCTAAGCATTCCTCTATGCCTTCCCTCCAGCTGTTTTCTACTTACCCTGAAAAGGCCTCACTATTCTGCCACCTTTTGAGTGTCTTCCTTTTGTTCTACTACACTTTCAAGTTGTTTTGTACAACCGCCCCAGCCACACATAACAAATCAGTACCTCCTTTGGCTCCCCAGTGATTAATATGTATTGGGTTGGTGAAAATTTTTGTTTAGTTTTTTTTCATACGATGGCTCTAGTAGTGCTTAGTTGTCTTTAACTTCATTTGAAACAATTTTGTTAGATTGTATTGTGGCAGCTGTCATATCAGTGTGCATTTAAAAAACTTATCAAAATTGGTGAATTTCTGTGCAACCATTTTAATAATGAAGTTGTAAGATATGCAACATTTTCAGCATATTGTGCCTTATCTTTACAGAAGAGATAGAAATGCAACTGAAGTGCCAAAAAAAAGATTTGTGCAATTTGTGCAGTGTATGGATAAGGTGCTGTGACCGATTGAACATGTCAAAAGTGGTTTGCAATGTTTCTTGCTACTATTTACATTTTGGCCAAATAATTCCTTGCTGTGGGGCTCTTATGGATTGGAAGATGTTTAGCAGCACCCTGGACTCTCCCCACTGGAAGCCAGTAGCAGGAGAGACGACATACTCACAATATCCAAATCAAATCGGTTACTTGTGAAAATGAAAAATGTATCTTTTATTTTTTTATTTTTTTAAAGATTTTTTTAAAGATTTTATTTATTTACCTTTAGAGGGAAAGGGAAGGAGAGAGGGAGAGAAACATCAATGTATGGTTGCCTTTCGTGCGTCCCCTGCTGGGAAGTGGCCTGCAGGGAACTGGCCTTCAACCCAGGCATGTGCCCTGACTGGGAATCACACCAGGATCCTCTGGTTCGCAGGCCCACGCTCAATCCACTGAGCTACACCAGCCAGGGTATCTTTTATTTTATGGAAAAAACTAAAGGGACTTTATCGCCAACCCAATACTTCTTGGCATGTATTATAATTTTCCTTGTACAACGGAAGTAACAAAATTGACACCTATCTCTATTACCCCTCCACTTATAGATTAATACAGTATCTCCCAAAATTATGTTAAATACTTTTTTATTTATCTAGATTTTAGGCCTCTGGTAACTTGAAGCATTTGCAAGACTGCTCTGAAACTGGCTATAAGGGACAAAGTCCTGTCAACAGTACCTCCTTGATTTACCCTCACGCCCTGACCAAGAGGGCTTGAGTGTAAAATGGAGTGTAAGTTCAGAGGTGGGGCATGAACTCTATGGTTTGTAGACAGTCCTGATAAGAGGAAAGGACTTGGTTAGGAGACTTCAAGTACCTCGCACGAATCAGTTCCTATGCTAAGATACTCACTTGTAATGACCTCATTCAATCTTCACAGCTGCTCTTTGAGGCAGATATTAGACATATATTGCAGGTTGATGGTGCTCTCCTAATAATTTTCAGACTTAACGGACACATATTCACCAGGTCAGCGATGTGGATGTTTTGAAAGAATAACTAAAGCTGCTGTGGGAGAGTTGCAGTCACCAGGGCCCCAGCTTTCAGAGGCTTGTGTAAGATGACTTGTTTCATTTGGGAGGATTTCTTTGGGTTGGAACAGAACAGCTGAAACCACTTATTTATTCGTTTAACAAATATTTATTGAGTACCTATTCTGTGTAAGGCACTTGAGTTGCGAGATAAAAGGCCTTTCTCGAAAGGGTTTATAGTCTAGTGGGCAGACATACAAAGTAAACATTATATCATAGTGTGGTAAGGCCCACTGAATCCATAATGTTAGAGAATAATCTAAACATCAACATTAGAGTCTTAAAGAGGAAAGAATATTAAAAATTCTTTTATCTCCTCGGGCTGCTTTGTGGGGTTGTGAGCAAGAACTTTATTAAAGTATACAACCAAAGAGCAGGAGTAAATTGTTTTCCCTGCCTTTGTGTGCCCCGTGGGTGGTCTTCTGTCACTCGTCAACTGCTTTCTAAGCAAAAAGAGCTTGGCACATCTTTGTCCTGGGGGATTACCTGGGGGACATTATTTGTGAAATATAATGACATGACATTTACACATACCTTCTGACTTTCAGTGTGTAGGTCACATATATGTATGACTAAAGTATATGCCACTATGCCACTCTAAAGAGTTTGGAAATGCCTCTTAGTGCATGACTTTTCTTGTTTCCTGACCTTTCTTGTTTCCTTGAAATTAATTTCTTGTATTACAGTATTGGACAGCTATCCGAAGTCCTTGGCCTTGAAAACATGGGGAGTTGGGGAATCCACACATATTTTGCCCCATCAGCTATCAAATGGTATGAGAACTAAGTTTTTCTGTCCCTGTGTTCAAAGATAGTGAAATGTGGAGTCAGCAAGCATTGGTGCCTTGGAGCACTCTCCCCTGCTTTGCTACATTTCTGTATGAATTAATAGCCTTTTTGTTTTGTTTTGTTTTTTTTTACAAGTGATGATATGGTGTCTTCTCACCAGTGAAGGGTGAAGGAATGAGAATGAGGGGCCTGGACTTCCCAGGTTTTTATTGCCATCTTATAAAGTAGAATACAGGAATAAAAGTTTTATAGACATTCTCATTTAATTCTTGTAACAGCCCTGTGACTTGAGGTAGGGAAATTATGGACACTTTACTATCTCTTGGATTTTCCATATGAGCATGTACTACATTTGTCATCAGAAAAACCACAAATGCATATAACAAAAACGTTTGTTTTTTAACTGTGCAAAATTTGTTTTGTAACGTTTGTTACAAAAAACGTTACAAAAAATAAACTGTAACATTTGTTTTTTAACTGGGGCCACAATTTTGTTTCAATATCCTGCATTCTCACAGATCACTCTTTTCTCATACGTAGATCTTCAGGTTGTTAAATATTCTTTGAAAATATGGTTCATAGTAGCTCAATACATCCATATGTGAATGTAAACTAGTTTAATTATCCATTCCGTGATAGGCCATTTAAGATAAATAATGGACTTCTATACAAAGGAACATTATGAAACCATTAAAAAAATCACATTTTCAGAATATTTCATAATCTTGGAAAATGTTTGACATAAATGAAAAAAGCTATGAAGTTACCAAATCTGTTCACAATTTTGTGAAATATATGCAGAGATTTATTTAATGAAGGAGAAATTGCAACAGTATTGTAACATTTTGTGTATGTCGAGCTGGTAAGATTAAGGATATTGGGGTTAGTTTCGTGTTTTATTTCACTGAATCGTAGAAAAGCTGCACAATGTCCGAATATTTCTTTTACATTCCGAAAATAAACAGATTATTTTTCAAAAAAGCAGCAAAACCGAACGATGAGATACAAAATATAGAGGAGAGTTTGGCTCAAGATGGTGGACTGTACAGAGGCTTTTTCTTCTCCGGTCTCATATCCCTTTAACCGAAAGAAAATAATTTGTATGTACAAACTCTGCGTGTGTATGTGTGTGTTGGATATTACTATTTTTTTTTTTTCGAAGGCTTTGTGAGGAATTCCTGGAAGATAGAAAGCAGATGGAGCGGCTGTGGAGGAGGCTGGCGGGCGACAGGCGGCCAGAGAAAGGGAGGAGGGGAGCCGGCCAGTCTGGCTCCGGTTTGAGGGAAGCGGTCGGGGGGCGCGTGAGGAAATGAAGGAGTGAGCGCCTGCAACTCTGCGGACTGAACGCGGGTGCGCGCACTGACCCGCCCCGCCGCGGCGGGCGGAGCGGAAGGCGGAATGGTGGGGGGCGGGGCCGAGGCGCGGGCGGGCTCGGGGAGGTCCGGTTCCCGAAGCGGCAAAAGCCCTGGCGCCAGAGCTAGGCCGAGCAGTACAGCGCTGCGAAGCTGAGGCCCCCTCCGACTCGCCGGGGACGAGCCGCCCTCCGCCGCCGCAGCCATCCCTCTGATCGCTTGCCTGCCTTCGCCGTGGTCTCCTTCTCCATCGCCGTTTCCCCGCCGCAACACCGTCGATAACAGCTAAGTGGTCAATTCGGGACTTCGGGTTGGGAGTCCGGGCGGGAGCCAGGCGCGGGCAGTACACGCCAGCGCGCCATCTCCTGCGGCAACCGCCACTGCTGCAGACACCCCTCCTGGGCGGGAGAGACACTCTCAAGAGGCCCACGCCGTCCCAGCACCTGAGATCAGTCTTACGGCATTTCTACCGAGCGTTGGTGAGATCCTTGTGCTTGGTGGAGGGAGGACTGACCGGGACTGAGAGATCACACGAAAACAGATCTCATATTGCACAGGGCTGATTTTTTGTCTCGGTTGAATCGGGCAAGTGGCAGCTTTGCCAGATCGTCCAGAAAACCCGAGCCATGTCGCCCCCAACTGTGCCTCCGATGGGTGTAGATGGTGTGTCCGCATACCTGATGAAGAAAAGGCACACCCACAGGAAGCAGCGGCGAAAGCCCACTTTCCTTACCCGCAGGAACATCGTGGGCTGCCGCATTCAACACGGCTGGAAGGAAGGCAACGAGCCGGTGGAGCAATGGAAGGGCACCGTGCTCGAGCAGGTTTCTGTGAAGCCCACTCTCTACATCATCAAATATGATGGCAAGGATAGTGTGTATGGGCTGGAACTGCACCGAGATAAGAGAGTTTTAGCGCTAGAGATCCTTCCTGAGAGAGTGCCAACTCCTCGCATTGATTCCCGCCTCGCAGATTCCCTGATTGGCAAGGCAGTGGGGCATGTGTTTGAGGGTGAGCACGGTCGAAAAGATGAATGGAAGGGCATGGTCCTGGCGCGAGCCCCGGTGATGGACACTTGGTTTTACATCACCTACGAGAAAGATCCAGTCCTTTACATGTACACGCTCCTGGATGACTACAAAGATGGTGACCTGCGCATCATTCCAGATTCCAACTACTATTTCCCTACAGCAGAACGGGAGCCTGGAGAAGTGGTCGACAGCCTCGTGGGCAAGCAGGTGGAACACGCCAAAGATGATGGGTCCAAGAGAACCGGCATTTTCATCCATCAAGTGGTGGCCAAGCCGTCTGTCTACTTCATTAAGTTTGATGATGATATTCACATTTATGTCTATGGTTTGGTGAAAACTCCCTAAATTCATTCCGTGTTCTTTGCAAAATTTGTGGAACTATTAAATGTAAAGTATGTTGTGTTTTTGTAATCGTGAACTTTTGAGAACAGTTTCGGTGTCAGAGATTCAGGAATTTAATATCCCTTATTACTTATTGTGCCTCCAGATCTTACATTGACTAGTTCCACAGTTTTGCCCAAGTGTACTTTGGTACCTATGATATTGCCTTGTTACGTAATTGAAAAATATAAATTGGGTACTAATAGAAAATTGAAAAGTGTTCAATACCTTTGGAACAATGAAAGACTAGATAAACAAAAATGAACGGTATAACCCCACACCATATCCTTCCCCCATTTCCCTTACCTTCCCTCTTCTTCACGAATAACAAGTGTTAAGAACATGATGCATATCCTACAAATTTCCCAACCTCTTACAAAGTTTGTTGCAGTTTCTGTAAAAATTACAAGCCACATCATTTCTCTATAATTGCTTTTCTTACTTTACATATACATGAAATCCCTTCTAATCAATAAATAGTTCTAGATATCTCCTTCTCCCTTTTCTCACCTTTCCCTCTCCTCCTCTCCCTCTGGAATTTATTTTTATATATAGTATCAAGATACAGGTTCAGTTATACATTTTGTTCACATTAGATATCTGATCACGTCATCGCATTTATTTAAATACAGCACCCATTTCCCTCTCACTCTGGAATTTATTTTTGTATATGTAATAAGACAGATCTAACTATACATTTTGTTCACATTGGATACCTGATTGTGCCACCCATTTATTGAATGAATCACCCATTTTCTCTCCTCCCTCCATCTTTTCCTCCCTCCAACAGCTGCATACACAGTACATATTTATGTACCAAAATGGTATTGAACCATTCTGTTATTAATGGTCATTTGTTATTTCCTTTCAGTGTTTCCCCATAACACTACTTGATACATATGGTGCTTTTTATTTCTATAGGTTAGATTCCTAGAAACGGGATTGCTGTGTAGGCTTATTTTAATTTTGAAAGCTGTTACAAAATTGCCATCCCAAATGAAAGTTCTCATTTTCCAGCATTCTCTCCAGCACGCTTTAATGTTTGCAAATCTGAAAGGGGAAAAATTTGTTGTATTGTTTCTGTAATTGCCAAACTCAGTGAGGTTTTTTTGTTTGTTTGTTTTTAGGGGGGTTGTTTGTTTTGCTTTTTGGGCTTTTCTCTTTTATGATTTGCCAGTATTTCTTCTCCTATGTTCTCATATCTATTGAATCGTTGATTTTTTTTCCTTTATAAATATATAAGAATTCTCATTGTATTTGCTATATAATGAATATTAATCATTTGTAACCCATATGTGTTATGATTTTTTCCAGCCTATCATAAATCTTGACTTTACTAATGTATCTTTTAATTTTTTTTTAATTTTTAGATAGACTACTTTCTTCTTTTTGGCTTTTTAGTTTTCTGTCTTTTTCAGATGAATACCCCAACCCCAAGTAATTTTTTTTTCTAAAAAGTTGAGGTTTTGCTGTTTTATCCAACTGGAATTTCTTTTTTATATTATATTAAATAGATCTCCAACTATACACTTTGTTTATATTGTATACCTGATGCTATCACATTTATTATATCAACCATCCATTTTAAAGTTTCTGAGCCAGTTCACATTATTTTAACTATAGTGGCTTAACCTTAAATTTTGGACTCTGGTAAAGCAAATTACCTTTCATTAGATTTTTTTTCTTCTTTTTTTTATATAACTTGTCCTAGATATTCATTCTTTCATATGAAGATTAAAGGCTTTTTTCACATTAAAAAAATTGAATTACATTTTCATATGTATTTAGAAGATTATGTTAGTAATATTAATACTTAACTTTCAAGACTTTGAGTACATCATTAAAATCTTTTGTTTTTGCTTTTGGAATGTTCTTCATCTAGGTACATTATATCAGATTACATTTATTTCTAAGTAGTTTTACAGTTTTTGTCATATTTTGACATTTTGAATGGTGTATGTTCTCCTGTTCATTTGTAATTTGTTATTCTGGCCAATAGAGACAGACTATGGATTAAAAAAAAATTACTTTCTATTGAATCAGCTCACTAAATCCTATAAATTACATTGGGTTTTAAAATAAAATAGTTTTGACTTTCTACATACACAATCATTTCACCTGCAAATAGAGATAATTTTGAGATAATTTTATGTTGTTTGTATTGATTATTATTACATTAGCTGGATTCTTCAAAACAATGTTGAGTAATGATTATGGCAGGCATGCCCATCCAGTTCTTGGCATTCCCTATTAATTAGCACAATGTTTGCTTTTGGCTATTGGTAGTCATTAACTACTAACATATTTAGGGAGTTTTTTCTATTCCTGTTTTATATAGCATTACTACTAAAAATGGCTCATGAATTTTATCAAATGACTTTTCAGCATCTATTGATAAAATTTCATGGTTTTTCTTCTTAATTTGTTGACATAATGAGTTAGAGTGGGAGGAATTTGATAGTGAACCAACTTGTATTTCTGGAATAAGTCCTACTTGGTCATGGTGTCATAATCATATGATATATTGCTGGATTTTATTTACCATTATTTTATTTAGAATTATTGCATCTGTGTTTCAAAGCAAAATTGTATTTTCTTTCTTGCACTGTCTTTATCAAGATTTTGAATCAAAATTGTGCTAGCTTAGAAGATTAATTGGTGAGTTTTCAATATTTACCTGTAGTCTGGAATATTTTAATAGCATTAGAATTATTTGTTGTTTAAAAATTAGCTAGTACTAAGTTGTACAACAGTCTAATCCCAGTGACACTTTTGATGGTAGATCTTTAATCAGCTTTCTTATCTCTTCAGTGATAATTGGTTTATTCAAGCTTTTTATTAAAATAGAATATATATTCTCTGTGAAATACAAATTTTAAAGTTTTATCTATTATGCTTCTCAATTGTTTTATTCAGATGCTTTATGTACTTGTGTGTTGCATATGCATATGTCCTAGATATGTTCAATTCTGAAAACATTAATAAAGTCATAAGCTATAATGCCGTTTTCAATTCTTTTTGTAGTTTACTTGAAAAATTAAAACAATATAAAAAGTATAAAATATATAACAAAAATTTATTTACCTTCATCTACAATTAATACATTTCATCATTTTGGTATATTTGTTTTAGCTATAGATTTATATATTTTTAAAAGTTAGTAACCCTGACTGGCATAGCTCAGTGGATCGAGTGTGGGCTGCAAACCAAAGTGTTGCTGGTTTGATTCCCGGTCAGGGCACATGCCTGGGGGTTGGAGGCCAGGTCCCCACTTGAGGGCACACAAGAGGCAACTACACATTGATGTTTCTTTCCTTCCCTTCCTTTCTCTCTAAATATAAATAAAAATAAAATCTTTAAAAAGAAGTTAGAGCCCTGGCTGGTGCAGCTCAGTGGACTGAGCGTGGGCCTGCGAACCACACGACCTTGGTTCGATTCCCAGTCAGAGCACGTGCCTGGGTTGCAGGCTAGTTCCCAGCAAGGGACTCGAGAGGCAACCATACATTGATATTTCTCTCCTTCCCTTCCTCTCTAAAAATAAATGAATAAAATATTTAAAAAAAGAAGTTAGAGCATTAAAACTAATAAATTCAGCTGGTGTGGCTCAGTGGATTGAGTGCTGGGCCTGCTAACCCAAGAGTTGTGGGTTCAATTCTCAGTCAGGGTACATGTCTGGGTTGGTGGGCCTGGTCTCTAGTGGGGGCCCAGTGAAAAGCAATCACACATTGCTGTTTCTCTCCCTCTCTTTCTCCCTTCCCCTCTCTAAAAATAAATAAATAAAATCATTAAGGAATAAAAAAAATTCCCAATACCATAACATTTCCTTTCTCTGCAGAGGCAGACACGATCATGAATTTGGTGCAAATCTGGCCTCATATATTTACTGCAAATATAACCATAGTCATTACCAGCATCAATTTTTGTGGGTTTTTTTTAATTCAAAATGAAGGGTAAACTTTAAACATGTGGAAATTATTTTTATTTTTGTTATAGGGATCCTTTTTTTCCCTAATGGGGAAGTGGATTGCAGCAACAAAAACAATAACACTGACTTTAGAATACTAGTCTCTCTTTTAGGTACCTTTACCACTTCTTACAACTCCTTATAGTCAGGGAGACTGGGCCCTAGCCACAACACTGTCAGTTGACTAAAAAAGACAATTTCAGCTCTCATGTAGATTGTATCTTGGCTGTAGTAAAGCAATTATCCACCACTCACCCCTAATTGCAAGACCAGAACTAGGTCGTATATTTATTTCCCCATGATAATAATTGAGATTATCTCATATCCTAAAACTCAGGGAATCTGGCACTAATCTAGCACTGTTTTGAGGCTTTAGGACACGACAGTGGGCAGAACAAAAATCTTCCTTTCTTAACATTTGTTTATCCTCCAAGTAGCCTTCAGACCGATTACAAAGACATAATGTAGGTATAAAAGTAGGCAGAACAAGGTAAAAAGAATGTGATAAATATCATTAAAGGGTTAGAGTAGTGCATATGTATTACGTAACAAACTACATGCTAAACAACAAAAAAAATACCAATGTGTATCCATTTCACATACATAACAATGCTTTCTAGTTCCTGTTCTCCCAATAGGCCCCAAGTCCAGATTGTCTTTTGTTGTTTCCTGATGTCATGAGGTTGTTAACAGACAGTAAGAGAGAGGCTCAGCCCTGGCCTAGGATCTGAGGATAGAACAGTGAACAGTCTACAAAATCCCTGCTCTCTAGGAACATACTTCGTAACGGGGAGGAAGAGAGCCACCAGTACCTTTACAGCCATGGTCACTCACAGTGGTTTGGAAATATCCCACCATTTGTCAGTGTCAACTGAAAAAACAACATCAACTAGATGTTTTGTCACCAAAAAGGATTCCTTTGGGGAAAAGAAAGGGTTAGAACCCCATGCGGGCACACATGGCAGGCAAGGTGAACACTCTGGCCTGCGTGCTGAGATTATTTTTACAAAGGAAAGGAAGTTAAGGAAAGGGGGAATTAGAAGCATAGAGCTTTATTATAAACAGAGTTCTTCCTGTAGGGTTCTCGCCTGTCAAGTTCTTCTGATTAACTAGAGTGCGAGAACTTCTGGAAGCCCTAGCTCCTCCCATAGACCCTTTTAAAAATATATGTATATTTTATTGATTATGCTGTTACAGTTGTTTCACTCCCCCCTTTATTCCTCTCCGCTCTGCACACCCCCTCCCACCTGCATTCACCCCCTTTAGTTCATGTCCATGGGTCATGTATATGTTCTTCAGCTTCTACATTTCCTATACTATTCTTAACCTCCCCCGTCTATCTTCTACCTACCATTTATGCTACTTCTCTGTGCCTTTCTCCCCTCCTCTCCCTCCCATTCCCCTGCTAATAACCCTCCATGTGATCTCCATTTCTGTAATTCTGTTCCTGTTCTAGTTGTTCGCTTAGTTTGTTTTTGTTTCAGCTTTAGGTTCGATTGTTAACAACTGTGAGTGTGTTGTCATTTTACTGTTCATATTTTTTATTTCTTTCTTAGAGAAGTCCCTTTAATATTTCATATAATAAGGGCTTGGTGATGATGAACTCTTTTAACTTGACCTTAGTCGGGAAGCACTTTATCTGTCCTTCCATTCTAAATAATAGCTTTGCTGGGTAGGGTCATCTTGACTGATTATGTTTTCTTAAAGTTCCAGGTAGTCTTTGTCATTCTCTCCTTTCGATTGAGCCCTTTCTCTGAAAACATCACTGATCAGTGGCTAGGTCTTCTAACTTCAGCAGCCCTTTGTCCATGTCAGGAAGGACCCCTTTCTAGGTGTTGTCTCTCTCAGCAGAGGAAAAGTGCATGATCGGGAACAGCTTGTGTCCATGGTTAACAGGAACCAGGATCAGAACTTAACAGCAAGAAGAATTTAAAACAGAACATCACAACACTCTACATGATGAATTTAAACTAGTATTTCAACTGTGTAGATAATGAAACAAATACCATTAACATCTTAAATAGATCAAAGTTGTTTTTTTAAAAAATATTTTATTTATTTTTGAGGTGTCAACGTATTTAATAGAATTGCTGCAACACAGATCTCATTCTCTGATCTGAATGCAAGTACATGAAAAACTGGGAATTATATTAAGAATCAACAATTTAAAAATAATGACGCATATACATTTTTTTGACTCAATAGTTGATACTTTATTTTATCTGTCCTACCTTGGTGCTTTCTAGTGGTTTAAAATAAGTAAATAAACAAACAAACACTTATTTATTTTTAATAAGAGAGAGGGGAAGGGAAGGAGAAAGAGAGGGAGAGAAACATCAATGTGTGGTTGCCTCTTGTGTGCCCCCTACTGGGCATCTGGCCTGCAACCCAGGCATGTGCCCTGACTGAGAATTGAACCAGCGACATTTTGGTTCACAGGCCGCCACTCAATCCACTGAGCTACACCAGCCAGGGCTAGATCAAAGTTCTTGACAGCAGATTCAATAACCACAAAAGTTCCCCCCTTTCACAATGGCTTAGAAAATGTAAACAAGGGAATATTCCTTCTAAGGAAAAGAGAAAACTGAAATCAAATTCATAGTAAGAAAAGAGTTGTACAGGCCCGATTCAATCTTCTTGGCAATTCACTTCCTTCAGAGGTTGCCTGCTTTAACTCTTGGCAGCTTTAGATTGAGGTTATCAGCCTGTGTGCAGTTGCAGCCAAGCTTTGGTGCCTTCTTTAGGAGTGACACATGTATGCAGAGTCTACTCCCTAGAGTTTAGTGACTCAAGGGTTACTCAGCAGTCCTGATGCCCTTCCAGCAAGGGTGGAGGGAATCTTTCATGAGGTGCCTTTTCCAGCAAACAAAATCTCCA